TGTGTTTTCACAGGGCTCCATGTAGCTCGTGTGTGTCCTGGGCTGAGGATGCCCCCAGTGAGCCTGGAATCTTTCCAGAGAGAGGGTGGAGGAGGGGGAGGCGGGGACCAGGGGACCAGGACGAGGCGAGCGCCCCCAGGGGAGTGGGGCTGGGCAGCCTGGTGCACCTGGCCTGCCTCCCTGAGGCCCACAGGTGCTGTCAGGGACTCCCCCGCCACCCCTGACCCCCTCTCCTGCGCCCCAGGCTAATCGGTGGTGACAGCTCGAGCCCTCAGCAGCTGAGCAGCGTCACTGCAAATTAGGCCTGCACTGGCTGAGCCCGCCAGCAGCAAATTACTCGTCACCCCTCTGCCGGCTCAGGGGTGGTGTGCGCATGAGCGTGCAGCGCCGCCCCTCAGCCTCCCAGCACCCCAGCCCTGGCCTTTCCACCTCCTTGTAGACCCTGCTGGGCCCTCCGCACGCCAGCGCCTCTGGCCTTGTCCTGTCCACAGCCCATCCGGGCTGGCCCCACGAAGTGCCCTCTGGGGGAGCTCTGGCTCCGAACACCCTCTCCAGGTGGACCTAGATTGCTGTGCGGCTCCTCCACCTGAGCACCTACGTCAGGGCTCTTTCCCACCCAGGCCAGCTCCCTACAGCAGCGATGCTCCCCCCTTCCCTCCCCCGCCCTGTGCCCACCCTCCTTCAGGCCCCTCCCTCCCCTCAGCTCCCCCGCAGGCCTGCCTCATTCCAGAATAGGACCTGGGGGGCAGCCTGTCTGTTGCCTGCGCTGTGCCCACTCCTGGAAGGGCCCCTGGCACCCGGGAGGCTCCCCGTCAGTTCGGAGTGAATGAGCAAAGCCCGCAGGCAGCAGGGCTGCGGGGCTTGGCTGGGCTGGGAGAGCAGGGCTGGGCCTCTTCCTGCACCCCACACAGCCTCCCTGGCCGGTGCCCCACTCTGCAGCCTCAGGAAAGGCCAGCCATGCGGCTGGGACCAGGAGGGTGACAGGGCAGCAGGCATGGCGGGGCCTGGGCAGGGGGGAGCCATGGCCTCCCACAGAGCTGTGGTGTCCCCTCGGGGGCTCAGGGCAACCCAGCCTTTTACCTCCATGGCCAGCTCAACGTTCCCACTAGTCTGCTTCCCAGAGTGGCTGGAGGCGAGGAGATCCAGGCCTCACTGGGTTCTGTGTGAAGGCCAGTTGCTTCCTGGCCTCCATGCTGCCAGGCCCTGGGCCAGAAAGTCCCATAGCCACAGCTAGGAAATGACCCTTCTTGGGCCCCAGGAAGTGGTGTCAGCCACAGGTGCCCCGCCCTGCCTGGTAGGCAGGTCACACAGGCATCCTGACCCAGACCGGGTACCCACAGGCCTTGTCTGTAGGGCAGCACCCAGGCCCCTCCAGGCCAACATGGCACCTCGCAGGCCTGGCCCAGGGCTGGACGCAGTGCCTGCTGAGCAAGCCCTGGACACCGAGCCCCCAGCACAGCGTACTTGATGATGGTCCCAACTGAAGCAGGGGACGGCTGTGCACCAACCACATCAGTCTCCAGGGGTAGGGTGAGCCTGGGAGCGGTCTGCCCTTGGCGCCAGGCAGCAGGGCTTGAGGCCTCAGTCCTGAAGGGTGTCTGGGCCCCCACTGGTGGCACCAAGTCCCCAGACTGGGAGACGGGTGGCAAAGAGGCCAGGGCCGGCAGGGCGGGCTGCAGGATCTTGGAGTCGGGCACCACCAAGCTGCTGGTGAATGGGGGCAGTCCCTCCCTGGGGTAGCCTCCCTCAAGGCCACAAGGTCAGGACCTGGGGCGAAGGGACTGGGGCACACAAAACCCACAGGGTCCCTGTGTGTGAATGCATGACCACAGGCATGCCCACCCTGTGGGGGGTGTCTGGGCATGCCTGCGAGTGCCCAGCTCTGTGGGAGCCTGCATTTGCATGTGTCTCAGCCCACATGTGTGGCCGTGTCTCCATGGGCATTGGTGTCTGTGTGTTCCCCGGTCTCTGTGTGTTTGCGTGTGTGTACCCGTCCTTGAGGGGGAAGACTGGGGTGAGGAGACCCCACCTTGGCAGGCCCCACCTTCAGAGCCGGCCACAAACAGGAGGCCAGGGAGGGCCCCATGGGCAGCACCTGCCACAGAGGGCAGGGCTGGTGCAGCAATGGAGAGCAGCTGGGGACCCCACCAGGCTGCAGACAGGAGTGGGCACCCCCAGTACGGAGTGGCCCTGAAGCCCGCCTAGGGCTAGCCTCTGGCGGAAGGTCTGGGGCCAGGCTCTGTCACCTTGGACCCAGGTTCAGAGTTTTTCCTGGAGTCCTCCAGCTTGAGGACGTGGGGAGCAGCTGCTGTGTTTGGCGTATAGGGCCTCTTGCAACTATGGAGGATGAGGCCCTGCTGGGTGCTGTGTGGGGGTGGTGGGGCCTGGAGTGAGGCTCCCCCAGAGGCTGCTGGTGCACCTTGGATAGGGGCAGAACCGGGGTGGGATGGTGTGTGCAGTGCTCCCGAGGACTGTCTTCCCAGGCTGGGAGCTGGGCTGCTTGGTGCTGGGGTGGCCCTGGCCCAGCATCTGGACATTCAGGGCATGGAGCAGAACTTCAAGGGCCACAGGAAAGTAACCTCGTCCTGGGCTGCAGCAGCGGGTCAGCCACTCGGGGCACGTGGTGGGAGTGTGTCGCATGCATGTGTATCGAGCATGTGTTTGATGAGTGTGCACATGTCAGCAAGTGTGTGCGGTCCCGTTCCCTGCAGATACCCCCAATACAGGTCCACACATGTGGTCCCCTTAGACCTCTCCTTGTGGTCTGGGAAGAGGTCACTGCTGGGGAACAGGGGACCCTCGGGGCTGCCCGGGGGGGCACTAGGTCCTGGGCTGCCCTCCAGACTGCCTACATTTGCTCCAACACCCACCCCAGGCCTCCCCTGTGACATGCAGACCCACCTTAGCTCTGGACTCCCAGCTGTGTGAACTGCTCCCTCACCCAGAGGACTTATCTCCCTTGGGAGCTCCTGGGCCAGGCTGTCATTTTGGTCCCTTCTGTGGTGTCTGCCAGGCACAGAAAAGGAATTCAGATGGAAAGAAGGAGAGAGGGCAGGAGGGAGGAATGAAACTCCCTCCCAAGAGGCAAGGGGTGCAAGGGAAGGCCAGGGTGGTGGTGGTGGGGGGGCCCAAGGCCATGCATGACAATGGATTCTGTCGGCAAGATGGCTCCTGGGCACCTGAGGACGGACTGTGTGTTGACGAGGCCCAAGTGCTCTGAACAGTCCGGTCAGAGGGCATCAGCTGCTCTTCCCAGGATGGCCGAGGCTCCCAGACCTGGGTACTGGTACTTCCGGTCAGAAGGCACAGCTAGACCCTAGTCATCCCTGCCCCAAGCCCAGGGCCCTTGGTGCCCCACCAGCTCCCTCTCAGACCAGGTGGCTTCCGGCTCACTGCCACTGCCCCCACACACCCACCCCCAGAGCATGTGCTCACCCCCACCCCACAAGTTGCAGTGCTAAGGCAGCAGTCCCTCCCCAGGGAGGCCAGCCAGGGGGGCAGTAGGCCTCAGCATCTGTCTGGAGCAGCGGGGCAGGGGCTGGGGACACAACAGAACAGGGGAGCCAGCCGTGCTTCCCACCATTCGGCTGTTCCCTTGGAAAAGAGCGGTCTCTGAACACATAGAACAGGTTCCTTCCATCTCCTGCAGTAATTTCTGTGTTCTCACTCATTCACCTGCTCCATTTATCATGGGGGGAAACATGGATGAAAGATGGAAATTGTGGGGTGGAAGGAAGAGGAAAGGACATCAGACCTGGGCCTGCGACCCCACCGCACTCAGAGCACAGCGCCCTGCCTGCCACCCTCCGCAAAAGCACAGCCTCTGAGCCCCAGGCCCTGCTTTCTCTGCCAGGAGGAGGCTTCCAAATTGCATCTCTTGGTGTCAAAACCAAGCCAGTGGACCCCGCCCGTGTATGGCTAGAGCTCTGGCCCCTCCTGGGCCACCCAGCGTGCTGGTGGTGGTCCTCCAGTGAGAGCCAGTGGGAGCAAAAGCTCTGGCCCCTCCTGGGCCACCCAGCGTGCTGGTGGTGGTCCTCCAGTGAGAGCCAGTGGGGTTGCCACCCAGAGGTTGGCTGGGACCTGCTGGGCCGGTCCCATGTCACACCGCAGTCCCCAGGGAGGAACTCTAACTCAGCCTCCAACCACATTTCTACCGCCTCTGCACCAGGAAATTTCGCCTGCAGAGATGTGCAGCAGCTGCCTCCCCTCGTGGGGGCTGTGTGTCTCAGCTCCTGGGGGTGGGGACTTTGCTCAACCCCCCCCCAGACACCCAACCTTCTCTGTGTAAGTTTTATTCTAAAGCAAGGAGGGAAGGGCGGCACTTGCCTTTTCCCCCGGGTCTCTTGGTTTGAGACCCTAAAGCAAAGGCAGGCCACGCACTCGTGAGGACTGCAGCTGTCCCGGCCCCCAGGATGAGCGACACAGCCCTCTGCCTGGAAAGAACACCTGGGAGGGCTGCTGAATTCAGCCAGGAGGGCTCTTCTAAACGTGCAGACAGGGCCCTTCACCAGGTGCTGTCCCACCGTGAAAGGAGATGTCAGCCAAGGCCGGCAACTGTCCCGTGACCCTTTAGTGGAAGATTACAGAGGTGCAGCTCCCACCCGACTCCCTGAAGCCCGGGCCTCGGTCCTCCAGAGGACGACCCCCTTCTGGTCGGAAGAGCTGGGGACAGTGCTTGCCACCAGGGCTCAAAGGTGCTGCACATGGGTCACCACCAGGGCATGCTCCTGCTCTGCGCCCCAATCCTGCATTAGTGGGAGCCCGGGGCCACCCCGTGCAGCCCCCTCCCCAGGGGCAGCCCAGAGGTGGCAGGGCAGGTGCCTGTAGGTCTGCCCGACGCATCAGCCTTAGTTACAACTTTGGTCAGTGTCTCCCAGATGCCTGCGGGTCGCCCAAGGCTGACGCAGGGCCCGCTTCAGAAACCTCCTTTTCCTTCGATTCCGGGAAAAATATGGCGAAAACGAAAGCCACAGAAAAACCAGCCAGGCCCCAGTGACTTTTGGATGTAAACGGATTTATTTTGCCTTTGTGTGTGTTTTTTTTTAAACCGTTTCCTCACTTTCGTAGCAAATGAAAAAAATAACACAACAAAACCGAACAAAGCAACAGAACTTTCAACGAGTCGGCGCGTCTCCCGCTCAGAGCGCGCTCAGCAGGAGCGGGCGAGGGGGCGCGCGGTGCCCGCGGGAGTCCGGGCGGCGCGCTGCGGGGGCCTGCGCACCGGCCTCTCCGCCCTTCTCCCGCCTAGTCCCAAGAGCCATCAGGCTTTGAAAAAGATTCCACGAACAAAACGAAACACAATTTAAATTAAAATAAAAACACTTTCTCCACCCGCCCCCATGCTAGGAGGTTCAGGTCAAAACCTCCTCTTAAAAAATGTTTTTTTCCTGCTAGAAATACTGTGCATTACTTTTTTTCCCTTTCACTTCTTTTGAAGGTTAAAATAAGATATATTTCCCCAGGAGTCATAAATACGATCTAGTGCATAGAGAAATAGCAGCACTGGAGCCCGGGCCGGCCCCCTCCCCCGGGGAGAGCAGCGCGGCGGCGGGACTGGACGCGGCGTGGATAACGCTCCGTGGCTTCAGTCTCTCGGGGATGCCGGTGGCAGGGTTGAAGGCAGGGGGGCAGGCAGGGGCAGGGCCCCTCTGAGCGAGCGACACATGCTGGGACACGCAGACGTCCGAGGGCGACTCGGGGCTTTTCTGATCGAGCAAAATAAATATTAATACTTCGAAAAAAGACCGGTTTAAAAATAAGTAAAAAAGGGCAAGAAAGGACGGCAAAAAGAAAGAAAACGAAGGACGGCGGGGCGCACAGGGTGCCCGGGATCGAGGGACGGCGCCGCGGCCCCTCTCGGCGGGCAGGGGCAGGTCGGGGCGGGAAACCGCGAGCGGCATATGTACAGGGGACGCCCGGAAGGAAGTTCGACCTGGCTCAGCTTCGCCGAAGTCGCCGCGCCCCGCACGCACGGCAGTCGTGGCGCCCGGGAAGGCGGCAGCGGACGTTGCAGCGGGGCGCAGGGCACGCGGCGCACCGGGCCCGGCCCGAGGCGGGGGCTCAGCCGGCCTTGCGTCCTCGTCCCGGGCCGCGTAGTCCGAGGCTCTTCCCGGCGGCCGCGTAGGCTCGGGGTGCGCCGCTCACAGGAAGAAGTCGGGCGCGCCCTTGGCCCCGCCGGGGCCGGCCTGCGGCGGCGAGGACTCCCGCGAGAAGCCGGCCCCGCCCGTGCCCCCGGGGCCACCCCGGCCCGCCAGCTTCTCGTATTTCTCCTTGTACAGGTCCCGCTCCTTGGCCAGGCGCCCCACCTCCAGCTTCAGCTGCTCCACCTGGCTCTGGAGCTGGCACTTCTCGCTCTCCAGAATGTGCCGCTGCTGCACCCGCTTGAAGCGGCACGACTGCGCGTAGCCGCGATTCTTGAGCGTGCGCCGCTTCTGCTTCAGCCTGATGACCTCCTCCTTACTGAAGCCGCGGAGCTGCCGGTTCAGCTCGCGCACCGACATGGACACCAGCTGGTCGTCGGAGAAGCGCTCCTCCAGGCGCACGTGGTGGCCCGCGCCGCCGCCACCGTGGCCCGCGCCGGCGTGGTGGTGGTGGTGGTGGTGGTGGGCGGCGTGGTGGTGGTGGGCACTGTGGTGCGCGCCGTGGTGATGGCCGGCGCCCATGTCGTCCGCGCCGCCACCGCCGAAGCCCTGGCCCCGGAAGGCCTCGTAGGCCGCGGGGTGGTGCGCGCCATGGTGCCCGGCGTGGTGGCCGCTGCCAATGAGCGCTTCCACCGCGTCCTCAGGCGTCAGGTTGAGCGCCTCGGGGTTCAGGTGGTGCTGGTAGCCGCTCATCCAGTACAGATCCTCCAGCGCTGCCTTTCCCGAGGCGCCCCCGACGGCGCCAGGGCCCCCGCTCGTCGGCCCCGGGGCTCCCCCGGCCTGCGCCGCGCTGCCGCCCACGCCGCCGCCGCCGGTGCCCGGGCTGGGTGCGCAGAAGCTGGGAGAGGAGGGCACCGACGAGCAGGGTGTGCTGAGCGGCGTCGAGGAGAGAGAGCCGGGCGGTAAGCGGTGGCAGAAGCGCTCAGCCTCGGGCGGTTCCTTCTTCACCTCGAACTTCATCAGGTCGAAGTCGTTGACGTATTCGATGGCCAGCGGGCTGCTGGGCAGCTCGGCGCCCATCGCCAGCTCCGTGGCCATCGCTTGGGGCCCGGCCCCACCGCCGCGCCCGGCTGTACCCCGACGGGAGGCGGGGGTGGGGAGGAGCCGCGGGCCTCTTCCCCACTTCGCTCCCGCAGGCGGCGGGGCCGGGAGGGGGCACCAAGGCGCGCGAGGAAAAGTTTCGCGCAGCCAACTCAGGTGCGGCCGCTGGGGACGCCGCCGGCCGGCCTCTCGGGTGGCCCGGGGCCGCTCCGCGGCGGGCGCAGGCCGGCCGCTCTCCCCGTGCCCGGCTGGCGGCCGGGCCAGTGGCTGGCGGGGCGGGTGGCTGCTCGGGCTCCCCGCGCTCCGCCCGCGTACAACCGGCCCCGCCTCCACGGCCGAGCGCCGAGTCTCGCGCTCCTCTTTATGGAGCCGGCGCCCGGACCCGCCTCCCTGGGAGGGGCGCGCGCCCCCAGGCCAATCGGAGCTCCAGACCCGCCGCCCTCATTTGCCTATCCCCATGGCAACCCGGAGTCCAGCTGTCAATCTCCTGCGGGGAACAGCTGTGAGAAGGGGTGATGACCGGCCGCCAGCGCGAGGGTCAGGGCCCTCTGGTGGCCGCCGCGGGGCACTGCAGGCTTAGAGGACTTGTGCGTGCGGGGGCCCCGCAAGGGGGCCCTCCGGGGTCTCGTGTCCGCGATGGGACCGCTGTAGGATATCGGCGGGTAGAGGGCTCCCCTTGGTGCCTCGATGCCTCGCCGCCCCGCCGGCCGTGACCCCGTAGCTCCCCAGCGTGACGGCAGCGGGACCTTCCGGCCTGCCCACACCGGTGACACTGCGCGGCCCCGCCAGCACTGCGTGCTGAACGTCTGTTATTTTTAGCCCAGCAGTTCAGGCTGGTTCAGGAATTTAGTCAACAAAGTTGCTGGCATCTCCGTTCGGCGGGATTCACCGCGGTACTCCGGGCTCAAAGAGTGTGCAGGTGGGGAGGGAAACGCGCGGGCCTGAGGAGGGTTGCTGGGGACCGAGAATGGGGACCCAGGGGCGCGGGGTGGGAGTGCGCGGGGGCTGGGCTCGGGCAGAGCGCTGCCAGACCAGGAAGACCATTAGGAACCGCCGCCCCAGCTGTCCACCCCTCCAGGTCTCGCCTCGCAGGGCGTCGTTCTGCCCAGTGCTGGGAAGGGGTGGGCATGGGGGCCGGGCGGGAAGCTCCAGGGCCAGGAGGAAACGCAAGGTCCCCAGCAGAGGTGCCCTGCTTGGCTGCCCAGGGCTTGGTGACTAGGAAGAGGGCTGTGGAGCCACGGGTGTCCTGGGAGCAGGGCAGAGGTGGTGACACTGCCCTTGACTGTCAAGGGAGATGGGAGAGCCCTCTCCTTGCTGCAGCAGGACCTAGAGTGCTCCCCACCACCACCAAATTTTCTATACTGCTGCTATAACTTTTACAATTAACTCAATCTTAAAAGTTACCATCTGTGCATAGGAAGAAAAGGCTAGAAGGATGTGGGCTGGAAGGTACCAGGGCTCTTACCTTGTTCCAGGCATGAATGTCTTACTTTATAAGGAAATGGTCATGCAATCGGGGGTGAGACCCCACTTCCTAAGATGTTATGGGGCACCCCTTATCTCTACCCCCACACTCCTCCAGGTGGGGCTGGATTGGGCTGCCTCCGTGAGGTAAGGAGAGCAGGGCTCCCCAGCAAGTGGCAGAACCGAGGTGGGGGCGGGCAGGGGAGAGTGCTCAGGTCTGCATGTGTTGCTGAACTTGGGGCTCCTTTTAAAACCCCAGTGTTCAGAGGGCACTCAGATGCAGCAAGATGCCTGTCTGAGGGGGAAGGCGCTTGTGGTGGGCTGCTGTACCCTACTTGTTTGCCCGGCCTTTGCCCCTCGCACTGTGGCTCCTGCCAGGACTCTGGACAAGCCCGGTGTGCCGGGATGGAGGAGGAGTCCAACCACAGGCTCTTGTAGCTGGGAACCTCCTATGGCCCTCGTCACAGCTCCTGCCCTCAGGCCATGGGACGCCCACCAACCCCCAGCCATGCCTGGGCTCTGTGGCACCCCAGTCCCGCCTGAGAGCCTCACCTTGTCCTGAGATGTGCAAGAAGGCAGCTGAGGCCAGGGCAGCCTTGACCCACCTGCCCCAAGCCTACTGTGAGCCCCCTCAAGGCCCAGACTCAGCCGCCACCAAATTGGGGGTCAGTCCTCCCCACATCCAGCTCCAGGTGATGCCCAAGGATGCGGGGCCCTGCTCCAGCCCAGAGCTGTCACCCCTTTACTGGATCACACACAGACTCATACACCCTTGCCTGGATCATTTATTCATTCCCTCAGCCACTTATTCATTCCCTGCACTGTAGGTGAGGGCCAGCCAGTGCCAGGCCTGCAGCACCTGGTGACCAGCAACTGCACTCAGACCCGGGGCAGGCCAGAGACCTTCCAGCTCCAGGCCCTTCCACCCCAGAGCAAACTGGGGAGGAGGGGGCTGTGCGGTCTGAGCAGGCACGTGTGTCCCTGACTGGCTTAGGCACCAGGCAAGCACCACTGGCCCACCTGGAGTTCTTTGGGCCAGAGGAGTGCCCTCAGGTCTCAGCCACCCCACAGCTGGGAAAAGGATCCCCTGGTGAGGCCCATGAGCTTCCCAGGCTCTGGCCAGTCTCTGCAACCTGGCCTCTGTGTGGTCCCAGCTGAACACCCCTCTGGCTTGTTAGTCAGAGCTGGGTCCAGTGGGAGAGGGACAGCAAGTTCTGCACACAGGCTTCAGACAGTCCAGCGGGCTCCTGCTGTCACCCTGCAAAGGGGCCGGGCCGGGCCGTCCAACCCAGGGAAGGCGCCTGGCTTACTCCCTTCCCAGAAACCACTGTTTGCTATGTGCTGGCCCTGGGGGTAGGGTGCAGGGATGAAGTGGGGAGCAGTACGAAGAGGCACTCCCAGCCAGGGCCAGGCCCACATTCCTGTGACTCGACTCCTGCAACAGTCAGTTCTGTGGCTGGAAGAGAAACTCGTCAATTCCATGCTGCCCAGAAAAGGCTCCTTTTCTTCCCACCCAGCACCTCCATGGCCTCCAGGGCCTCTCACACCCACCAAGCAATCAGCGCCTGGACCCATAACATTCCACAGGGACCACCCATGTGGCTCATCAGATGCATCCCACACAGATCTTTATTGAGCACCTACTGTGTGCCAAGCTGCTTGCCCAGGGGGCACCTTCCATTGGGCTCTGGTTGAAAACAAGCTGGCTGAAGCTTGCTGCCATGTTGTGGCATTTCAGGACATTCACAGCCTTTGTGGCTGAGGGGCTTGTCCTGGGCATGCATGGCAGGATGGCTGATCTCTGACGCCAACAGCTGGGAGGACTTCAAGGAGGGACAGCTGATGCCTGGAGCCATGGGTAGCATCTTCAGGCCCACATCTGGCAGAGGACAGAGCATTGGCTGGACCAGCTCCATGCAGTGTCTCTTTACAGCCACTTGCTCACATGGGCTGGTCGAGCTTCCTCACGGCATGGTGGCTAGTTCTGAGCGAGCATCTGAGAGCCAGCGCACATGACTGGCATTTTCTGAGTACCACCGTGCTCCACTGCCTGCCATCCAGGGGAGGGCACAGACACCACCTCCTTTAGATCAGATGGAGGAACACTACACTGTTGCAACATCTTTGGGAAATACAGTCTGCCAGAGGGGTCAAAGGGCAGAAAATAAACCATAAAGTAATAAATTTGTAAATTATACAGTGTGTTTGCTCTATAGCAAATTATCACAGGTTTAGCAACTTAAAATGTCCCACATTTATTATCTTGCAGCCCCTGTGGTCCCGAGTCCCACAGGGCTTGGGTGGAGGCCTCTGCTCAGAGTATTGAGGTTCCTCTGTGGAAGGACACCTGTGAGGGCCCATAGTTTGTCGGCAGGGCCATTTCCTTGGGTCTGAGGAAACAAGGCCCTGGTTTCTTACTGGCTGGGGTCTGGATTCTGCCCTCGGCTCTACCTGATCCCATGGCTGCCCCTCTGGGGAAGCATACTTCATCTGGCCAGTGAGCGGGGCCTCTGGGGCGAGCTGCCTGGCAAGATGGAGTCTGAGAGTGTAAGGTGACCGCATCATGCAGGTTCCACAGCTGGAAGCAGGTCCCAGGTGCTGCCCACTCTCAGGGGGATGGGGCCACACGAGGGCGGGGCACCAGGGCAGGACCAGGCACCTATCCCTACCACAGCAGGTGAGGTGAAAGGTCGGCACAGAGTGGGAGGGGCCATTAGAGCTGTGATGCCATGGGGGCTGGGGGTCCAAGGGGCCTGGTCTGATGAGGGGAGGCATCAGGAACTCAGGGTGGCCGCACTGAGGTGAGGCGCCCACCGTGCCAGCCACACAGCTCCTTTGTGTCTGTGGATGGTGTTGTGCAGACGCGGCCCTCAGCTCAGGGCACTAAGGCTCATGACTGCAGGTGGCAAAGGGACTGTGCCCAGGGGCCGTCCTGCCATCTGTCCTATTCCTTGAACATGGATTTTTCAGATCCTCACTGTTAATGCTCCAGAAAATGCTATCCTGTGCGGTGAGAGCAGGTTCCAAGTGGCTCCTTTCTGTTCCTGGGGTGAGCCGTCAGCTGGCCAGCCAGCAGAATGGAAGTTACCGAGGAAGCCTGCAACATCGTGCCCCGCAGACAGCAGCCCCGGGCTCTCCAGGCTGGGGTCAATAGAGCGGCAGCATGCCATCCCTCCAGAGCCAGCCCTGCTCCTTCACCCAGGGGTTTCTTCACAGCACCCTTCCCATTTAGGGAGCCCCACTTTGGGGGTGGACACTCAGCCAGGTGGATGGGAGGGGAGTAGGGGCGATGCCTCCCTGGGGATGGGCCCCAGACTAGGGGGATTCTGTCCCTAACCAGGGACACCCTCCTGGCTCCTTCCACCCCCCAGGGGAGGCCAGGCCCACTCCTGCCACCCCAGCCAATGCATCCTGTAAACCCACACACAGTGGGCATCTTTGTGCTTCCCTCCCACCTCTCCACTTCAGGCACTTTCCCTGCTGCAGCCGAAGGCCTGAAACAGGTGGCCGAAGACCCAACGGCTTAGAGCTCAGCTGGTGGACCATGGCTTGGAGATCTCTCCCAGACGAAGCCCACCCATCCCAGCCCAGTCCCTTGCCTGTAGCCTAGAGATTCAGTGAAGGGCCTCTCCTCCCACACCACTTGTTCATAACATGATTTTAGGTCTCAGCCAGATGGCCAGCCTTCCCTGCCCTGGCCACCCCAGTGGACGTGAGGAACACATCACCTCGCCCGGCCCAACACCCTTACATGAGGCTCCCCATCCTTGTGGGGGCTCGCCAAGAAGCCACACGACCTGCTGTACCAGGGCAGTTCACAGGAGGGCACAGGCCTGGGCAAGGATTCCTGGAATCCAGGAGAGGGGCAGCCCCCACCCCACGGAACAGGGAAGCCACGCTCTTGGCAAAGGACTGAGGCGAGGAGACTGCGGGCCCTGCCTGGAATCCATGTCACCCTGGGAGCAGGCCCAGGAGCCGGGGCAGCTGCTGGCCGGAGCCCCTCACTTCCTGCAGCAGCCAGTCCCTCCCATGTTTTTCACGCCAGCCTTGGGCTGTCAGACCAGCTGTTTCTGGGTGGTGGGTTGCCCCATGTGGCCAGGGGGCCTTTGCTGCTCGGTACCGTGGGCCTGTGTGGGTCATCAGCACTGGACCGGGGCAGAGTGGCTTCTGGTGAGGGTGGGGCAGAGCGGACAGGTCTGGGGAGTGGTGGGGGCTTGCCCACCTCACAGTCGGGTGCAAGCATGTGCCCTCACTCACTGTGGAGGGAAGCCAAGTAGGCAGGAGGGAGGTGAGGGCCTGAGCCAGGCACAACTCAGATCCGGCCAGAGCAACCACGTTGTCTGTCCCCCCAGGCACGAGAGGCAGAGCTACCCCAGCTGCTCCCACCACCGGGGTTTGCGCTTTGTGGGGAGCTCAGAGTGGGCTTCGAGAGGGAGCCCTGACTGGGGTGGCCGTGCTGGTGGTTCTTCACCCTGGGGCCTGCACCACCCTCACCTGCCTCAGCAGGGGACCCCGCCATGGCATGCTGCAGCCCCCGGCCCTGCTGTCTCCCAGGATCTGCGGCCCCTGCCGCGCCAATATGCCCCACTACTGCATGGAGCTGGGCCAAAGCCAGCACAGAGGGATGCTGAGGGGTGGCCAGTGAGGACACGTGGTCCTGCAGACATCTGACCTTGGCCAGAGCAGCCCCACGGCCGGGCTGGGCCAGGAGCTGGTCCACAGTGGGGGCCACGCTTACTTTCCTCCCAGTCAGGTCTAACTCCAGACCTCACCACCCTGCTGGACTGGCTGTGGCGGGGCCCAGGGGCACACAGGGCTTAAGGGACATCGATGTGGGGTCCCGGGCAGCGGTACCAGACCCATGACCATGAAATGACAGAGGGCTCCTGCTCCACTGGACTGCGTGTCCACTGTCAGACACTGGGCAGAGCCCTTGCTGAGGGCCAGCCTTGGCTGGAGCCACTTCTAGGGCCGTGCAGGGTGGTCCCAGTTCAGACAGGAACTGGGGCAGAGCAGGATCACCCCAGCCCTCTTCCTTGGCTTCCTGGGGGAGGCGCATCACCTTCACCTGGGCGCAGCCTGGGCCCAGGGCCTGCTTGGCCAACAAGCTCCTGGCAGATGTGGTGTGGGCAGAGGCCTGAGCCCCACCCACACAGGCAGCCTGCACTTGCTTCAGCCTATGCCGCCCCTCCAACCTGGGCTGAGAAAGGTGGGCAGAGGATAGGTGGTCGCCTGGAAGACCCAAATCCAGGCCAAGGCATGGGGGGACCACAGGCCTGGGAGCAAGAGGGCCCCCAGGGCATGGGGTGGTGCTTTGTGACCTGGTGACGCTGCAGCAGGAGCTGACTGACAGAGCTGGAGGAACAGGGCAGCCCCCTAGGAGGAAGGTGAGGCAGGGTGGGGATATATACTCTGGATGGCCTTGGCCCTGGCATGCCTAGACCAAGCCCTGGGACCTTGAGCTGAGGCCATGGCCCTTAGCGAGGCCTCCCTGGGACCCTCTGGAATAGAAGAAACCTCCCAAATGGGAGGTGTGTGGGCCTGAATGAGCTGAATCTTGGGCTGCCCCAGACTGCCCTCTGCCCCTGCCTTAGCCCAGCCACCCTTCTGAGATGCCCAGAGAGGCTCTCAAAGGGACCTCAGCCTGGGGACCCCGGCCCCCGGCCTATCGCATCCAACATGTCCCCAAGGCTCCTCCTGGGCTTCTCTCCACCACACGTCACACTGGCTTGGCCATTGGGGAGAGGATGTCCCCAACCCTCTGAGCCATCTCTGGGAGGCTGGGGAGTGGGCTGACGTTCCTGACCAGAGACAGTAGGGAGGCTGGGCCTTTGCCCGGCCTGGCCTGGACTTGTTCAGGTATGAGGCCAGGCAGACAGGTGAAGTGAAGCAGGGGCCACTAGAGGGGGCTCTGTAGCTCCCAGGGGCCTGAGGCTGGTCACTTACCCACAAGAGATACCCCTCAATCACAGGCCTCCAGACTCCCTCAGGGGTGGCACCTCGGAGCTTGTGGGCATCTACGTGAGTTGGTGCCCAGCAGGGCTGGGTGGTGGTGTGAAGGTCGTCAGGCCAGTCAAGCACACACAGGACAGAACCTTTATTGCTGAATATCACAAGCCCACCTGGGGTGCCTGGGGTGGTGGCCTGCTCCCCACAGGAGTCCTGGGGGACTGTGGACACTGCACGGCTGCTACCACCTCCACGAGGGGTGGGCCTGGGGGTGAGCCCTGCCCCACACCCCTCAAGGTGGGAGTTTGGGACACAGCCTGGGTGCAAGACTGAGGACCTGGGGTGAGGAGAAGAGGGTATGGAGAGGCCAGGAGGGGCCCACCCGGAGGGAGAGGCAAGGCCCTGAGCACTGGTCATGGAAGGCTGAGAGCCAGGCGAGCCCGGCCCTGTGGCCCCCTCGGGGGCTCAGTGGCAGGTGGCCCCTTCTCCAGGGCGGTGATGGGCGAAGCCTCCTTCCTCTCCAAGGATGAGGGGCTGAGGTAGGCACAGGCTGGACCCCCAGGCTCTTACAGACGGGGTTTGATGTGCAGAGGTTTCCCTGTTCCGAGAGGGGCAAAGGTCAGGTTGTGAGGAGCACCCAAGCCAGGAGGATCTCCCCCACCCCCAAGGCTTCTGAGCCAGGATGAGGGGGACTCCATGAGCCCAGGCCTGCAAGGTACAGGCTGCTAGGAACTGCAGAAAGTGGCCTGGACAGGTCTCTGCCACCTCCTAGCCCTCTGCCTGCCTGGTCCCCACTCTGGGGTCCAGAGCACAGGGATGGGGAACAGTGGCCTGCCGGACTAGGTAGCTCCTGGGCAGTTGGCGGGTCACAGGTGGGAGCCACAAGTCGGCAGGCTGAGCTAGAATCACCAGGTGCACACTGCCTGCACGCACACAGACGTGCTCACGCCCGAACAGGCTGCCAGACGCACACATGGTGGTTGCACTGCGCCTTCATTGTGAAAAACCAGGGTGTGCAAGCAGTTGGCTGGGTAGGGGCGGGTGGGACCAAGGCTCCTGTGTAGGGTAATAGGGCCTGCGGACCAGAGGGGCAGGAGGAGGCTGCAGGCCAGTGGTCAGAAAGGCTTCCTGCAGTACAGGAGGGGCCTGAGGACCGTCATGTCCGAGAGGGGCCTCTGCCCTATGGGCCCCACGCTCACTGGGTTGCGATACCTGTCCCCTCCTGTGAATGCTCTGGGTCACCACACAGACTGACCAGAAGCTTGTGTGTGGCTGCCCAAAAGCATGGCACTGCCCATGCCTCTCTCCTCAGTCCCTCACTTCAGGGCTGGGGACCCCAGTCACCTCTAAGCCAAGCCAGAGCTTGGAGGTCAAGCCCAGGCACCTGGGCCCCAGGCCTGGGACTTCACTGGCCTCTGCCCTGCGGCCTCAGCCCCTCCTGGGTGATGCATGTGCAAGGGTGGCCCGGCCTCCTGCCCCAGGGCCAGCCCAGGCCAGGAGGGGCAAGGCCTGAGCAGGGAAGGAAGGCTGATGGGGGCCCCCAGGCCAGGGGAAGTCTCTGCAGCCTCTCCCCGATCTCACTCACTCTGGCCGTCTCCGATTCTAGGGCCGGCTGCCGAAAAAAGAGAGACGCTGCCTCAGAGTCCACTCCCTGCCCAACCCGGTGAGGCCCGCCCTGACTGGAGGGAGCCAGCGCCCCAGTCCCAGGCCTGCAGAGGGCCTGGCGGAAGCTTCGCCTGTAAGTGGGGGCTGCAGGCAAGCACGGCCGCGGCAGGCGTTTGAGCGTGCTCAGCGGAGCTGTTAGAGAAGGCTGCGGCAAGCATCTTCCATTAACGTTACGACCGTGAAATATGACAATAAAATGATAGCCGTATGGTCGCAGATTTGCAGCCCGCCGAGCTGCGTGGGGTTTATCGTCACTCAAACGCGCGGAGAGCTGTAAAATGTTTACAGAAAGGGTCGTTTGCAGCCATAAAATCCTCTTTTCTCTCCTAAACAAGGCTGAGTGGAGCCATTTACCAAGCCCCAAATGCTCATTGGGGGAGAGGGAACATCTGCTCTCCCCAGGATGTGCAGCGATCTTCCAGAACAAATTAACAGAAATGGGTGCTTGCTAATTAAGTCAGCCCTCAGCTGGGCAGTCTGTGCAGGCGGCCACTGCTGCACTCACCCCCTGGCCAGCCACGCCCTGTGGGCCAGCAGGGGCACACCTACCAGCCAGGATGCGACACAGCAGCACCAGCCCACACTGGGCTCTCCAAAGCTGTCCAGGGCCCGCTCTGGAGACTGGGACTTGATGGGTCCAAAGCAGGCACTGAACTAGAGCCACTGGCTGTTTAGGGCTGGGCTCCGGGGGTGCCAGGCTGCCTACCAGAGTCCTTGGTGGGGCTGCTCCTGGGAATCTGGGCCCTGGGCTGGCCTCCTGGGCTCGGCAAGGACTGCAGGGAGATGAAGGCAGGCAGCTTGGAAAGGCTACTGGACCCCATCACCGCAGAGGCAGTTTCTTCCTGGAGCGACGGTTTCTCCTGGTCCAAGGACGCGGATGGAGAGGGGGAGGTGGGGGAGGAAGGAGACGGGGAGAGGGAGGCGGGGGAAGGGGCCCTGGATGATGAGGGAGAGCCTGAAGCTGCTGGTAACACCCGTGGGGAGGCAGGAGGGGAGGCAGAGCCAGCAGCCGTGGAGGTCGGGGAGCTGGGTGTCTGTGTGGCAGGGTGCTGGGCAGACGAGGACTTCCTGCAGGGAAGGAAGGAGCAGAAGTATGAGGGTGGGTGGCTGCTTGACAGGGCAGGTCCGCAGGACACTGGCCCACCATGTGCACATCCCCAGGCCCAGTGGCAAGGCGCCTGGCCCCTCCCCATCCCTTCTTGGCCCAGAACCACCAGGCATGGCCATCCAGGGCCAAGGCCAGCCCTTGGCCCCAAAGCCAGGCTGGTGACATCATGGGGCCTCCAGCCTGAAGCAGCTGGGGGCGGCCTGGCAGGCCAGCCCCAGCTCCACACTGACCCCATCTGCACCTTCCAGAGCCTTGCCTTCTGTGCCCACCTAGAGGCTCCCACACTCACAGGGCAGGTGGGCACCACACGGTGCCCTCAGCCATGAGAATCACCCAATGTCCTCCCCTCTCCTGGGGAATGGAAGTGGGTGGCTGAGAAGTCCCCACCTGCCTCCATGGGGTGAGGCTGCACAAGGACCCAGATTGGGGACCTCTGGAGGTCACCTGATCGTCAGCTTGGGATATGAATCCCAAAGAGCTGGGTGGGGTGTAGGGACTCCGCCAAGAGGGTACTGAATGTCCCCAGAGCAGGGAGGGCTGCTCTCTAACCGTCCCCAGCTTCCTCTCCCCGTCACCTGGGCCCATGGCCAGTGGAGGCCCTGCTCCTGGGGGCCACGTTGCAAGGCTCTTGGGCTGGGGCTGCCCTCCGACCAAGGCGCTTCTGGGTGCGGTGCAGCAGCTGGCACTGGGTGCCCCGGGGGCAGGTGCTCCCACGGGAGAAGTCGGGGCACAGCAGTGTGTGCTTCTTCTTGCACTGTGGGGAGAAGGGGTGCTGCTGGGGAGGCTCCACCCCACATGGGGTGGCCCTGTCTGCTATGCCCACCGGGATCAGGGCTGGGGCCCCCCATGAGAGCAGCCACACCTGGCCGACACTCCCACCCACCCATAGCATGCCCCCGAGTGATCTGAGGTGTGAGGACGCCACTCTGGTTGCCCGGCCACTGCCTAGCTCGGCTCTGGACCTGCACTGAGGGTCGGGCCTGCCCAGCCTGGGCCGGGGACTGTTTGGGCACTCATCCCTTCTGCTGGTGGAAGACTCAGGGAGGCGGGGTGCTCCAGGCCTGTGGGACCTCACTGGGAAGAGTACAGGCTTCAAGCCCAGGGGTGCGGCAGGTCAGCCGGGGCCAGCCCCGCACCAGAACCACCGCACCTGTCATGGTGGCTAATTATACCCAGCGGGGCGACCCCACCCGGCAGGTGCTCGAGGACCGCTCAGCTGTAGCTCTGCCTGTCGGGCTCGCAGGGAGTCACCAAGCCTCTGCCCAAGGCCTGCTCTCCTTGGCCCTCCTGCTCCCAGGGTGACAGCTGCAGGGCCCAACGCTGCAGGCCTGCTGTGCACCCACTCCTTGCCCAAGGCCTTCCAGGGATGGGGTGTCCTGTTCTTCCCCAAGCTTTAGTGGTCACAATCCGGGAGGAGACTGCCAGGGAGTAGTGAGCCAGGGGCGCCCTGACTGCCCCTCACGTTGGACCAGGTGACAGGCAGCCAGGGATACAATGCAGAGACACAGACCTGGACAGAACCCCGACAAAGAGGGTCCCTGCTGAGCCTACCCTGAGTCAAGGTTAAAACCAGCCCTGGTGCTGGAGTGGCTGTGGGGCTCCCCAGCACAGGGGCATGGGTACAACACTTGAGAATTATGTGTCAACCACCGGAAACCACTGCCTCTCAGGCCCTGTAACCTCCCTCCTGGGACTCTGTCCTCAGAATGCCAGGCCTCAGCCCTGCTCCGGGCACCCAGGGCAAAGAGCCTGGTGAGGGCCTCATGGAGCACACACCCATTCCAGAGCAAGGTCTGAGCAATGGCACCACACCTGGCCCCCTGCTGCCACCAAGGGACCAGAAGCCCCTCATACTGTTGCTTGGGGCTGGCATGCAGAAGGAACCAGCTGGTGCTGGCAGCACGGCCCCCAAACACCCACTGTACCCCCAAACCAGCTGGCACCCGTGGTGGGGCCAGACCCACCCCTGCCCCCAAGAGAAGGCTGCACTCACTCACTCGCTTGCTCTCACATGCAGTTGAGGCTCCTCTGCACTGGGCCTGACTGGGGACACCCAGTGTCCCCATTCCCACGGGGCCCAGGCTGAAAGCAGGAGATTGCAGAGAATCATGGCAGGCTGGGATGGGGAGTGAGGGTGGCTGGGCAGGTGGAAGGGACAGGAAGGACCCCTCTGTGGAGGAGGCTTGGTACTAGACAAGAGCAGACCCAGTGCCAACAGGTCCTCCAACAGCCAGCCCTGGACACAGCTGCACAAAGAGGTGGTGTGGGGCCCCGGGCTGGCTGTCCCATGCAGTGGCCACAAGCCAGAGGGCAGCACGCTGGAGGGGCCACACTTGGCAAGAAGGAAGAAAGTAAAAGGCCGAGTTCCCAGCTCCTCTCGGTCACACACTGAAATCTGTGCTATGCTGGGTTATATAAAGGCCATTTCATTTTTGTTTTTCACTTTTTTAAGGTGGCTACTGGAAAATCTAAAATCCCACATGTGGCTCACATCTGGCCAGCCTTCCTACTGGACAGTGCTGGTCTAAACTAATACTTTTTCCAAGAACAATCCAAAACCTAGGACTGAATGTAAAGAATTTCCACAAATCACCCAACAGCTGTCAAGAAAGTGAAATGATGGGAAAAAATCTACTCGGAAACATATTGGACACAAAATGAATCACAGATGTCAAAGGTCTGAGATCTTACGTTGGCCACACACACTGATAAAAAAGCAGAACCCACCACCTAACAAAACCCCAGAATATCTGAAAATTAAGGAAGTTACTACCAAGTAATTCATGGATCAAACAAGAAGCAATATAAATTGGAGATTACTTAGAACCAAATGGCAACATCAAAGCGACACACTGAGATACGTGTAATGGAGCTGGGCCAGTAATTGGAAAAAAGTCTCAGCCTTACAGGCTGATGTCAGCAAAGAGGATCTTCCTCAGGAGTTAGGTGGGAAAAAGCAAAGTGACCTGAGGAAAGCAGAGGGAGGGAAGTAAAGGAGCAGAAATGAATGAAATAGCAAAAATACAACAAAACCCAAGAGAGGCAAAAGTTGGTTATCTGAAAATACTCGTAAATTTGTCCAATAAGATTAACCAGGAAATAAAGAGAAGAGGAGCACATAGCAGTGCTTGGAATGACGAACGTGCTCTGAGCAGAAAGCCCAGACCTCAGGATGACAGGGTGAACACTCTATGCTGTGGACTGAAAACACAGATGAAGGATGAAGTCAACGAATTTTAGGAAAACTGACAAAAAAAAAAAACCCCGAATGAATATTCTTGTGACTATTAAGGGACATGAATCAGTGGTTAAACAATAAAGTGAGCTCCAGCCCAGGGTTTAACTGGAGGTTCTATCAAATGTTCAAGAGATGTATAGTCCCAACCTTAAAGAACTGGTCCACAGAGCGGGACAGAGAGAACACTTCTCAGTTATTTTATGGGGCCAGAATAGTCTTGAAGCCAAAATCTGACCAGAACTGGATAACAAAAAAGATCACTTAGGCCAATTTCACTCATGAACAAGGATTCAAAAGTCCTATACAAATTATAGAGTCCTGCAATGTATGAATGTATGAAAACACCACTATATCAGGACCAACTTGAGTTTATCCCAGGAATGCAAGGTTGGTTTAACATTAGAAAATCAATGAACAGAAATTAGTACAGACTAAACAAGAGGGATGATATGATTACCTCAACAGATACAAAAGAAGTGTTTAATAAAATTCAGCATCAACTCACAGTTTAGCAAATTAGTGATTGAAGGGAACACAACATCCTTACCTTAATATAAAGGGTTTCTCAAAAGAACCTTCCATTGCAACAACATGGATGGAGCTAGAGGGTATGATGCTCAGTGAAATAAACCACGCAGAGAAAGACAAGTAACAAATGATTTCACTCATCTGTGGAGCATAAGAACAAAGCAAAAACTGAAGGAACAAAACAGCAGCAGACTCACAGACACCAAGGATGGACTAACAGTTGCCAAAGGGAAAGGGACTGTGGAGGGTGGGTGGGAAGGGAGGGAGAAGGGGAATAAGGGGCATTACGATCAGCACACATAACTTAGGTGGGGGGGCACGGGGAAGGCAGTACAGCTCAGAGAAGACAAGTAGTGACTCTATGGCATCTTACTATGCTGATGGACAGTGACTGTAATGGGGTGTGTGGTGGGGACTTGATAATGGGGGGAATCTAGTAACTACAATGTTGCTCATGTGATTATATATTAATGATACCAAAAAAATTAATAAATGATGAGATAATCCCCTAAAAACAAAAACAAAAACAAAAAATGACCTTCTAGAATGCATTGCTCATTAAGGAGAAAGGCTGGAAGGCCAGTACCATCACTAGCTGACACTGTACTGGGCTCACAGGCAGGGCAGTAAGGCAAGAAAAAGAAATGAAACTCATCTGAATTCAAAGGAAGAAAAAAAATGGCCATTATTTGCAAAAGATGATTGTTTACATAGGAAAACCCAAGAAAATCTATGGATAAATTATCACAGTTACTAATATAGTTTAGCAAGGCTGCTGGAAACAAAATCAAAGAAAAAATTGTATGTCAATATATCTATGAACAGTGAGGAAATTTAGAAGTGTTACTTATAATAATAATAAAAGTGACAGAAATATATCTAGCAAAGATAAGCAAGAACTTAATTAAAAGACATCAAAGGAGACACCTGTATAACAGGCAACAGATGTCTTGTTCGTTGGCAAGGAGACTCACTGGAGAGACAGGTAACAATTCTCACTAAACTAAGGTACAAACTCAGGACAGCCCCAATCAAAATCCAACATGTTAGAAAACTTACGTTGAATTCAAAATGTATTTCTGGAAGAATAAAGGGCAAGAGCAGCTAAGACAGCTGTGAAGAACAAGGTGAAACAATCTGCTTTATTATTGTGAATGCAAATAATCTGGCTCAAGGACACACAATGAACAGAACCAAAAGCCCAGAAACAGGCCCCCGTTTATGGAAACCTGACTCACAGGGGAGCGGGCTGCAGATCCCTGGAGAAGGGGCCTCACAACACAAGGCGCCCGGGCAAAATGAGACTGGACTCCCACCTCATGCCCAACACAACCACGAACCACTGGATAGAAGACGAAAGTCCCACGTGAGGAAGATCAGACTACAGGGCAGTGGAAGGCAACAGAGTGCAATGTGCAGTAGGGGAGGATTTACTGTATATGACAAAATGGGCAAAGTGTAAAGAAAGACTGAAAGAATGATTTCTATTAAAATTAAGAACCTCTGTTCTTTAAAATACGCTACAAAGAAGTGAAAGACTAAACCACAAACTGAAAGAAGATATTACCACTTATATGACTGACAAAAGATTAATATATATATTATGTTCATATATTTTTTTATGTCCATACTTCAGTTTTATATCTTATATATTTCCTGTTAGCCAGTGAGAGAAAACTGATTCGATGGAAAAACGTCCCACCCTCACTTAAACAACGAAACCCCAGGGAATGGTCACAAAGAAAAAAGAGCTGAGCATCATCAAGGGCTGGCAAGGAGGCTGGTCCACGAGTGTGAATGGGCACAAACAGCTTGGCGACTGCCTCATGTTTCCTACTACAAGGAACATCACACCCCCCACACCTGTGGCCTGTGCTTTGCTACATGCTCTGAGGCCCTGGTCCCCAAGTGGGGTCAGCAGATCCTGTGGCAGAAACTGTTCCCCCAAATGCCAGCCTGCCCTCCAGGAAACACATTCCACAAGGGTG